TTTTGTTAACAATTGGGGTTTCTATTGCTAGTTGTGAAAGGTCCTTCAGCAAGCTGAAATTAATTCTTACTTACTTGAGAACCTCAAGAACGACTAAGTAACTTGGCAATATTAAGTATTGAAAAAAGACGTTCTTAATACCTTAAATTTTGATAGTTTAATTGATGCATTTGAAGCTGCAAAAGCACGAAAGGTTCATATTATGTAACCATGAATACCAGAATGCTACCTGAACAAGTTAAGTATATATACAGTTTTTTAAACTAATAAAATTTGTTATTTGTAATCTTAAGTAGTATTTTATCAATCTATTTTATAATCCATATACACCACAAGTGACTGGCTTCTCATATAAAACATAAGTTTCAAAACTACGGATATAACATAAATTGATTCTGCATGCTTGAAAGATTACTCTAAGTGTGTGACTTTGAACAATACTGGATGACATAAATATCAGAATGGTTTACAAATTATGTGAGTACACTTAGTAGGCTATACTTCATTAGTTCCAGGTTTACAGTTGTGATATCGTGAGATGTTATATTGTGACTTTATATTAGGCCTGTGTAAAGCAGTAATCAATTCTTTATGTTATTGTCATTAAATGGGTAATGAGTCACAAAACAAATAATCAGAACATTTCAGAGGTGGGGGTGCCAAAAGTGTCTTTGCCCTTGGGTGCTGAGAACCCTTGCTACGCCATTGCAAAGTACGGCTGATTTGTACCATGGACACTTTCCACAATAGGAAACTTGTGAGCCTTTTTCTCAATGAAGTGGTTGATAAAGAATGTTTTTATTTTTTGTAAATGGAATTAATAACAAGCTGTTATAACTCCAACAGCTGGTCAGTGAGTTGTCCAGACATCTGACCTGATGGATAATTGGAATTTCATACTCGTATTTTATGAAGGTGCCCTGCACACCAGATTCCTAAACTGCCTGATGTGTCATCATGGGGGGGGGTCTGTAATGCTTAGCTTTAAAATAACTAATTCCCACCCCCTGCTTCACAACAGTAGGTTTTAGAGATAAAATGAATTATGACTAGATTTCATTACTTAATTGCCATGTTTGTGGGCACAAGGTTTGGCTTACCTTTTCTGTTAGTAGAAGGCTCTGGTAAAAAAATGGAAATTTGTATTGATCCAGTAAAAGAGAGATGTATTTAAAGCTACTATTAGCATTATTGTGATCTAATATCTTACCTAATACCAATTACATTTAAGAATAATGTAGTTATATATTAAAAACTGTATGAAGTATGGTGCCAAAGTTTTCTGTTTTTAGTTTATTGCTTACCATTTTAAAGCAGTCTTGTCTTTGCAGAAACTTTATCATGTGGAAAATGCTCACAATATATTTGTTACTGGGCTTGAATTTCTGCCCAGTAATGAGGAAGCCCAGCGCATCACTGGTGACCAAGATACGTCTCTAATCAGTATATCAGTGGATAATCATATCATTGTTCATCATGTTCCAAAACCATGTGAGTATGCATTTAAGTTGGTGCCCTTATACATATATTTTTAATCAGTATTTCAGTGGATAATTATGCTGTTGTCTATTACGTTCCAAAATCTTGTGAGTAAAATTATTAAGGTATCGCTAACTGTGATGTATCATTTTAAATTACTGGATTTAAAGGCCTTCCATGTCACATGGAGGTAACAGAAGTAAACGTTTTTTGTGGTTAGCAAAACTATATATATCTGCCTATTGGTTGATTTGAAACATGGTAATTTTAACATTTATACAAATTTAATTGGCAATGTTTTTGGAGCAAAATAAGAGTTGCATAACACAAAGAGGCTGTAAAATTGGGAAGTTCACCAATTAAGGTAGACTTCTTACTCTTTATTAGGTTATCAACATAACAAATAAATCGTTCACACCTGTATAAGAAACAAAATTGAATAAAATAGCAAAGCACTGTGTATTTGTCCCAGCTTAGTAAGCTTAAACACTTTTATATGTGGATGAAAAATAGGAGTGATTAGAAGAGAAATTCATCAAATAAAGTACCTATCATATGTGAATAATGAAATTTTGAGTACAAGTAAAACATCAGAAATATTTTTGAAACATATCCATCTTTTTGGGTGACCTGTACCAAGTTTTTGAAAAATTGAATTTAGTGCAATGTTTATGAACAAAAATAAAATAGTTTTTGTTCTTTGATATTAATGTAGAATTTTCAATGCCAATCTGATTAACGATTCAAATCAAGTGTTATTTAAGTTTTCTTCCTGGCTAATTAATTTGATATAGTATAACACAAAATGTAACATTTTAGAATTTTGTAGTTTTATGAGGATAACATAATCACCACATTTGAAAACACATTTCAAAATATGTTTGTAGCCATGGCATAGCAGCTCATAGAATGACCCTGAGTTTTTTTTTGTTTTTCTTTTCAAGTACAAACTTTTAGCTCATAGCTCGTCATCTCTTGACAGATTTGAGATCTAAGTACAGTTTTGGACTCAGGAGGTCAAACCCTTATGATTGTTGTATTTGACCATGCCTAAGGTCTCATAGATTAATTTCCTCTAACCCTGCCTAAGATAATTTCAAGTTGAGGGATCGGCTGGTAGAGATTTGGATGAGTAATAAAACTTAATTGGATATACTCATGCCTCTTGCTTGGTACTGCTGGTGCACAAAAATATAGCTTAGAAAAAAAGGCCTCATAGATTAATTTACTCTAATCCTGCCTAAAAGAATTTCAAGTGCCATGGCTATTGAGGATTCCCTCTTGCTTATATTTAAACATAACTAGATTTATCTGAAACCACGAGTCATAATTAAATCATGGAATTTAAGTAAACTACAATTTTGGTAAAAAAAAAGAGTAGTTTAGAAAACTATTATTTGCCAGAATACATTGTAATATAAATGATAATTTACTTGTTTCATGCACAACACAGTGGTTAATATGCTGGACTGTAGATTCAAGATTCCATGGTTTGCATTGAGACAAAAAATTGCACTCTACACTTTGGAGCTGTGGGTGAATTATAAGAATGACATTCAAAATCCCACTGTTCGATTAGAATAGCCCAGTAGTAGTTGGTGTTGACTAGCTGCTTTCCCTCTAGTCTCTCACTTTAACCATTTGAACTTTTTCTTTTAAATTTTGAACTGCTATATTCTATTTAGTAAAGACATGAGTGTCTGCAGATATTTTTCTTGGGGGGGGGGGCAAAGCCAAAATCAAGGAAAGATGAACCCACCTTCAAAGTTTTGCCATTACAGTCAGATTTGATGTGTTTAATATTTGTAAGGTTAATTTAAGCCAGTTATATATATTTCATAATAATACATTTTTGTTGACCCTGACCATGCTCTCTCATGGGATGTCTGCAAGACTATGTCAGTCTCTTTGATAACCTGCTGCCAGTATTACAGGCAGGTGGCAACATGTTGACCCCGATTACTCTGTGTCAGGGCTCAGGGGATGTTGGCAAGACCTTGTCGATCTCTTTGATGACCTGAGTGAGAATTGTCATGTCCGATATCCAAGAAGTCGCCGTGGTAGTGATGTTTTTTGATATTTAGCTACAGGTAGATATCTAGAGATTTTAAGTAAAGCTGCTGACAAACTGGCGACTTTTATTAGAATTCAAACTTATGTGTAATAAAAAGTGTGAAATTATGAAGTGAATACAAAACTTGTAAGTTCATAGACACATGCTGAATAAATAAAGAAAGAATTATGTTTGTCATTTTCTCATTTACCCTTGGAGGAAAAAATCAGACTGAAGTCATGGACATGATCGTGAATGCAGGTGAGCATGTTCCAACATTGATTCAGTGGTTGTTTCATGTGATTTGGTAGAATACAGAGCTGGACACAAACTATAGAACAGGAAAGTTTTATGGAAGTCAGCTAGCACCACCATACCATTAACATGATGGAAAGGACTTCAAGGAAGTTGGGAAGGTAGTAGTTATCCAAAGTTCTATGTGAGCATGCAAGTGATAACCTTTCCAGCTCCAGTAGTTACTTACAAACACAGTTGAATGGTATTCATTAAGGTAAAAACAAACATTTGTCTTACTATTGCTGAAACTGCTAAACTTTTTGCATGTGCACTATAATTCTCTATAATTAATTCCTGTGCAGTGGCAACAGATGAAAGAAGTAGTGTTGATTCAGTGAAATAATACAGCTGCAACTTTGAGCACTAGTGGGACATGAACCAGGTAGAAGAAACTAGTGAGAGGATGAAGTGAAGACAAAATTAAGGAAGATGGTGACTAATAGGGACATCAGAAAAAGAGATTAGTTATTCAGTGACTGTTAGTGGTTAAAACAACATAAAAAGTAACCTTGAGTACTATAATAAAGAAGATATTGATATTAAATAGGCTCTAACATTGATATTATTCACCATTTACATTGTTTGAGAGTTGACCTATTAAATACTCAAAAGGAAATAGGATTTGGAAACAAAAAATCAAAATGTTTTTCAGAAAATGGCATTCTGAAAAATTAAAATCCATACTAAAGACACAATCTGTATTTTAATCAAAAAAGTAATGTATTACATTGAGGATTTAGAATTGTTTACAAATTATTTTTTCTTTTTTATAGAAATATGTTTTTGTAAATAATATGTAATTAGTGACTGCTGTTTATTTGATGCACCTTGTTAACTATGATAAACCTTTTTCTTTTTTTTTTTAGCAACCATGGGAATTGTTGGAATCCTTCTCCTCTTTATGGCAGTATTGTTTCTTGTTTACGTTCTCTTGGATTATCTGAATCTCTGAGAAACTTGAATTTTTTCTTAACTTTGTGTATTTGGGAAGTACATTTTGTACTTGTTAACAAACATATATATATAAGTATTATACATTCCAGCTATAGTGATTGAATGGTGCCTTTTGAAGGACCAATACTTAGGTGAATATGAAAGAGAAGGGGGTGACAAGTATTTTGTCTCTCTCAACGTAAATGACTAGTATGTTCTTAAGCCTTAATTATGGACAGTAATGCTGAATAACTTAAGTTTTCAGTGTAGTAAGATATGTTGATGTAAAAAGTACATTAAAAATATCATAAATATGAGTCATAATGAGATCATTGAACGTTATAAGATACATTTACAAAACATCATTTTTTTAAGTTTCATAATGCTAGGAAGATCAGTTAATCAAGACTAACTCCATAAATATAAACTTTATTACCTTCAATTCTTCAGTATTACACCTTCCACAGTCTTAAGGCATCTCAAAGTACCTATGAAGAGTTTAGATGCAAAACGAGGTACATCCATTTTTTCCACTTTTATAAAATTCATTATGTTTCTTAAAGCTGATGGATGATGAATAAGTATTCCACACCTCCAGTGTATAAAATGAAATACTAAAACAGATGATTAGATCATGTTACCACAAATCAAAGTTTATTAAACTTTATAGTGTTAAATGTTTAATTGGTTTTGTGGAGAAAAAAAAACAATATATCCAGGGCTTTGTTTTTTTTTTAAACAAGATATGATCAAATGGTTTTAGGTTCATAAAGATAATTAAAAATCCCATTTAAAATGTTTTTTAAAACAGCAATATCATTACTGATTATAATAAACAAAAACTGATGCAAAACCATGAAAAAAGTGAAAAAGCAAGTAATTGTATTCTTACTGTTAACCCTTTCAGTGTGGCTGGGATGTGTATACGTCCCAGCCACAGTGAATGGGTTAACTTGTCATTGATGAAGTTACATACTACTCTGGAAAAAGAAATAATTAATGTGATATCAGAAATTAATTCGAATATTATAAATAAAAAAGCAAAGTAATTATTTGTTTATTGGCCTTTCAAAAATAACCTATGGAAAGGGAGGAAAAACAGAATGAGTATTACAGGTGGATGTAAATACCAGTTTCATCACACAAATAACCATAATCAGAATTGTATTATGTACCATAAGTACTGTAACAGTATCAGAAAGTCCTTCTAGTCACTGGCCTGATCACAGGACACTGATATGGTCAGCACCAGCCAAGGCAATGTTATAGAAGTTATGTATATCCTGTTCCACTAGAAGTTCACCAAGAAACTGTGCTTGGCTTTCAAATTGTGTGCTTCTGATTTGACATCAAGGTATTTCTGCACTGTAGTTTCTTGGCATACATGATTGTTTGACAGGGGTAAATAATTAATTTGATGTGCACCCAGATTTTAACTTGTCACTACCTTAGTTCTCCCCACAAATTTTTTGGCCTCATCACACCATTTTCCAAACAGTATCTACAAATACCTGGAAGTAAAATAAAGGAAAATCTTGAAATAAAATATATATTTAATTATCAAAAATGAAGAATATGCCTTGTTTCCTTTGCACATAATTACATAATGGTGAGGCTTTTAACACAACTTCAGTTTCAGTTTGATGTAAAATAAATTCAAATAAATCCAATAAAAAGTATAAAAATATTAAGTTTGCTGTTGATCAATCAGAGATTTATAGCGACATTTATCCCATCTTACCACAGAAATAAAGTAGTTAAGAAAGGAAGATGAAAAAATTAAAAAACTGAATTAGTAACAAATATTTAATCTAAGCCTATTTACCACTAATAATAGATATTTTGCCTACTGGTGCTCTTATCTGTTATCTTGCTAGAAAGTAGTATTTTAAAGCCTCATCTTTTACTTTACTTATGGCATTGTCATGGACATGGAGTTTTTTCAATTTTGATACATTCATTCAACTGAGGAAGATAGCATCATGTCCAACTTTGTCATGTGTCTGAAAAAACTGGCTATCAGTATAAGCCCAATCATCTGGTTTTAGCTGGATGGTGAGGTAAAGTTTGTCAGCATTTTGATTGCAGGCAATTGCTGGGAACTTAGCAGATCCACTGTGACAAAGGTTTTGGATGACATCCATGATTTAGTTCTTTTATTGTCACTTTAGTTGGCTCACTAATTTCATCAGAAGTGTTTATTTTGAACATAGAATAGTACAATATGAACAGGCTTAAATGTTGACTACAAGGTACAAGGATTCTATGATATTTGTGTCGTGGTAAGAATATGTGCACTGATTATGTCAATGAAATAGAAGTGGCATGTATCACATATTGGAATGAAACAGATATATCTACTGTATATATCATAGCTTATTTCACAATTAGCAACAAAGTGATTTTGAGCATTGTAATTTATATATATTGAGGTATATGATCCTGGCATTAATGCAACTTTCATAATGATGGTGTATTTCTTCCTTTGGATCTATTCTCTTCATATTGACTTTAGTGACATACCTTGTGCACATGGATCATATATAACTTTATAAAAATGTATACATTTGAATTTAGTAACAAAATTGAAATAGAATAATTTAAATGCACATCAACACATATGCCTGAGCTTGTAAGATTATTCAACTAATTTTGTAAAATGATCTTTCTATTTAAAATAAAAACATTGACAAAATACACATTTGTGTCAAAATATAAATTTGAGCATTAAATTCCATAATAAATATATATATATGTTTATTGGTGGTTTTTATTTTTCATTTAATAAATGAAAAATATAATATCGAATATAATTGAATATCGAGGTGTATTAAGTTTGTAGCAATATACAGACTGATGAAAGTGTAATACTGAAATTTTAATAACAGCATTGATTTTTGCTTATTTAGTTTTGTTCATGTTTGATTAAAGAAATAAATGTTTTCACAACATTTTAGTTTGATTCCTATCCTTACTAGTCCTGTATACTTTATAGATTAGTATTAGATATTTTAACTACTGTTTTAAGCATGTAAAGATTTGATAACAGAAAGACTACATATTGTAAGTTCTATTGGAAGTTAAAAAAAAAAAGAGAAAAAAAAACACACACACAGTGTTTGTAGTGGACATGTTTCTATTTTGAAGCTACTATAATGTTTGTGACTTGTGTACTATTATTCTGTCCAAGTAATTTGTGGTGTGTGAATTTTATGCATGCTTTTTAATTGCATTCTTTCTTTTACCAGAGATATGTATATATACATATATATGTTTTATTCACACTGTGTAAAGTGTGTTAAAAAAGTGATGGGGAAATTCTTTTGCCACTGCAAGTTGGAAACATTTTTCAAAACAGTGTTGTAATATATTTATGAGGAGCGAATAAAGTATTTAAATGCTCTAGTTTGTAGCACATAACATTCTTTGTTTCTGGATAAAGTTATTCCACTGCATTCTTTGTTCTCATGGTAGCTTCCCAACATGGATTTCAAAATCGACTAAAGACACATTGATTAGAAAGAAATGCTAAACATAACAAGCCACATTTTTTTTGCTTCAGAAACAAGTTAAACATTTTAAGGTTGTGGGCATATATACTATATATTCCATTACACTATTTCCCAACTTATGAACTAAAAGAAGAAAGGGTTAAAATCTCTCTCTAAGCATAGTTGAATTGCCATTATTAAACCTCTTTTAATATCAAATACTCAAAAGTTCACTTAAGTAAGAAAACTTGTTGGCTATGATGCAACTTGCATAATAGTGCCTTGCCTTTCTTACTTTTAATACTTCTTTGATGCCAGAATTAAATGATAAGTTTCCCTGTTGGTTTGCATTTGAAAAATTGAGAAAGTTACATGTAAATTATATGGGACTGAAATTAATGTATAATTTAGCTGTGTAAACAACCCCTTCAAATTACGTTATTGTTATCATTAGATATACCTATAAAGTAGAGTTATCCTTCTTTCTGTCTGATGTCTTCACATTAAAAAGTGTGAGAAACTGGCTTAACAAATATCAATGAAATTTGGTAGAGGAACCTGGATAGAGTCCCCACTCCAAAAGATTGAATTTTGGCCTGGCATGGCCAGGTGGTTAGGGCACTCGACTAGCAACCTGTGGGTCACGAGTTTGAATCCCCGTCACACCAAACATGCTCGCCCTTTCAGCCGTAGGGGGCATTATAATGTGATGGTCAAACCCACTATTTGTTGGTAAAAGAGTTGGCAGTGGGTGGTGATGACTAGCTGCCTTCTCTCTAGTCTTACACTTCTAAATTAGGGAGATGGCTAGCTCAGATAGCCCTCGTGTAGCTTTACACGAAATTAAAAAGAAAAACAAAACATAAATGCATTAGATCCTTAGGTAATGTGTTAGTTCAGTGATCTCTTACATAGGTAATCTGTATTATTTAAACTATTTGAGAGCCCGTTTTGTTGTTAGTTCACAAGTAAAATACAAAAGAAGTAAAGTAAAAAGTTGGATTTTTGGGTGAAGGATTCCTCTCAAGGATGTTCAGGAACAGGAGTCCCTCTTTATCACCAAAAAGAGATTTGGTAACTTACATTTTGAGGTTCGACTTACAGGAGGTACGAGGAATTGGGAAAACCATAGTAAGGGCATATTTGAGATTCAAAAGAGAAGGAAGAGGATGAGTAGTAGTCTTTCTTGTATTAACATATAAAATAAATAAATAGATCATAGCAGGAACTTTTTTTCCAAGAGTTGGGGACTTTGGAACTTTAGTTGGTTATACTTTTTGATAATATAGTTTCTGTTCAGGGATGATCTTCATGGGTATGTTTGATTTTTCTTGTAGTTGTGATACTTGATGGTAACACATTTCCTGGCAGTGGGTGGTACATCACTTTAGGAGTATCCCTGTCTTCAGTAGTCACTTAAGGTTTGCTCTGGAATAAGTATTTTCCCAACTTATGCAACAGCCAATCTACCTAAAATTGAGTTATAATTTTTCTCAGCAAAACACAAGTATTTCTGTAGACACTGTTCTTTTGATACATCTCATAAGATGAGAGAATTCTTTGTCTCCCAGGAGAATATTATTTAACAGAGGTAAGGAAGAAGTTAACTCTTTTTTTTTTATGTTTTTTTTATAGGAGTTTTTTTCTAATTCATCAAGAAGTACAAAAGAAGTGTGACTTAACTGAATTTTAAATGGAAAGACTCTAGGAGCCTGATTAATAGGTGCCTTAGTGACCCGAATTGTACAGTTTGTTGACCTTGCAAGAGGAACAGTATCAAAGGCTAGTACACCATGCCAATTATCCTAACAGTCACATCAGGTAAAAGTAACATTATTTGAAAGTTCACTCTGAGTTAACAAAAAGGAATGAAACTTCAATCCCTATTATCCCCCATAATTCCTCTCAGGAGCTTTTAGATGCCATACTGTATAAAGGATTGAAGCACTTACAACAACCAAAGGTGAAAGCACACATTATTAAGCCACTTCCCCTGAATGTTTCCATTTTTCTTTATTCAACACCTATATATTAACAAGATTCAAACAGAGCTGAGAACTATAGATATGTAAATTATTACCATGCACACATGATTTAGTTTTGTTAAAAGTGTGTGTAGGAGGGGGGGGGGCACAATTGTAAAGAAAAAACTGGTAAGAAAAAGAGCCAAGAGAATTTTTTGCTAAAGATTTTTAAATTCCAAGAGAGGTAGCATGTGCCTGGTTAGGACCCTAAAAGTGTACTTGATTCAACTGTTTTGTGATAAAAAGTTATCCTGTAAATTGAACATCCTTAAAAAAATGTTTTCTTTTAATTTAGAATTTTTACTTCTATCATATATACGAGTTTCATGTTAGATGGGTTTGGGCATGGCTTAATGATTAGTATACCTAGAATATGAAACCAAAGATTCATGGTTTGTAACCAGTTTCTGCAAACATGTTGTCTGCAATTTGGGGCCATGGGTGTACTATAAGAGTGACAGTCAAATCCCTCTTATGCAACAAGAGAAAGAGTAGCCCAAGAGTTAACAGTGGATACTGTTGGCTAGTTGCCTTCCTCTATTCTCT